TGCTCATTAAGAGGGATTCATATAGAAGGAAATTGCATGAATACATTATTAGTACAGAATCACTTATTGCACCGAATAATTTTTTAGAAGCTTTACAACAAAGGGTGAGAAGATTTACGCTAACCCCTTTGGCCTGTCTTCTGGATATGGAGAGGGCTGTTGTGCAGACCCCGAGAACCCCAAGAATTTTCGCGTTCGGAAAGACACATAAGCCAGGAACACAGCTGCGCCCTGTTGTGGAGAAGTGTAATGCTCCTACGTTCAAGTTGGAGAAACAACTGGTTAAGTTTATACGGAAAAATATGCAAGACTCGCCTTTTTCGGTAAAAAATGCGGTGGAGTTGCTAAGAAAGTTGGAGGATGTCATGCTTATGGATAAAGAATGGATGACGGTTTTAGATTACAAAGCTCTGTACCCGTCAATTAAATTACCTCCCTGCTTTTGCGCCCTGAGAGACTTTTTGTTAGCAAAAATTAGCAATTCTATGAAATACCACATGGAGATCTTGGAATTGGCGGATTTAGTATGCCACACATCTTTCTTTCAATTTGAAGATAAAACTTACTTACAGACACGGGGCGTACCGATGGGTAGCCCCATGTCAGCTATACTCTGCGAATTAGTGTTGCGTAATCTCGAAAATGATATACTCCCCTCATTCCAGGAAGACATATTGGCTTACGCAAGATATGTGGACGATATCTTTATTTTATGGAAAGATAATCACAGAGTTAATCAGTTTTTAGATCGGATCAACGACAACCCGTATGGGTTAACTCTGGAGCTGGAACAAGAAAATGGAAGCATTGTTAATTTTTTAGATTTAACTATATCTTGCAAAGATGGTGAAATCGGAACAGATATATACCGGAAACCTACTTATCTTCCTATCGTCATTCCTAGGAACTCCGCAGACCCTGAGCATATAAAAATGGCCGTTTTTCGTTCGTGGATAAAGAGGGCACACACGCATTGCACCAGCGTCTGCGACACTTACAAAGAATTAGAGTATATAAAAAACATGGCGATGCAGCAAGGATACCGTAGAGAAAGAATAGATGCCCTCATCGCGAATTGTCGGAAGCGACTCCCCTCTCAGGGAGGGAATCAACGCAAAGAGAGAATCGTACTCAATTACATACCGTTCCTTAAAGGAATGGTTAAGAAAGTTACCAGGGATAAGGATGTACGGATAGTTTACAAACGTAATCCCACCGTATACAGGCTCTTAAGGAACGATAAAGGCAATTACGAACGCAGCGCAATGGCAGGGGTGTACTCTATACCATTAAAAGACCGTAGATTTAACACCAATCTAGTGTACATAGGGGCAACCTTAAGAAACTTAAAGAAAAGGATTGCTGAACATAAGCAATCAGTCAATAAAAACATAGACTCTACGGTGCTTGCGGCCTTTGCCAAGCAGCAGAATATCGAAGTCTTTTGGGATCGGGCGTCGATCATTAAAGCCACAAAATCCAGGCAGGCTGTGAAACATCTGGAAAAACTAGAAATTCACAAGGCGCAAATGCACACAAGCTGTATTAATCATAGGGATGCTGACGGATTATCGTCGGCATGGAAATCCTTCTACGATGAGTGACGTAATTTATGTAAGCGGGAAGATTATATAAGATAATTTTTATTGGATGCATATAATTTATTTTATTTCTTTATTTAGTTTTAACTTTTATAATTCTTAAGATTATTTAAACTTGGTAAATGTTAACGTATTTACATATATTTATGTAACCGCTTTTTGAATTTGTTTTACGTAATTTTCGAATTTCTTCGTTCGATTCACAAATGTTAACTGACGATGATCGCTTAAAGCGTTCGAAAGCGTTTTTAAATATTAAAAAATGATTTGCTGGATGTTTAAAGGTGTTGAAATATTGAAGTCTTCCTTTAGTCCATTTATCATCATAGGAAACATGATCCACATTGGCAGAGTTGACCTTTCCTTATAGGCTACTTTCCTGCCTATAGCTATGCAAATTGAGTAAAAGTTCCAAGATTTTGGCTATTTTCCATAAAATTTCTAAAAAATCCAGGACAAAATATATTTTTAAATATATTGGAAAAATACAAATAATGAAAACTTATAAAAACAGAAATATTGAAGACTAGTGCACATTGACCGCCTTAAACCGTTTTATGGGCAGCAAAATAAGACTGAAAGATCCAAGAGGATTAACCAAAGAGCCAAGGTCGAGGGAGTAGGTGAAGATGATGAAGAGGAAGCTGATCATCGTCAATCCCAACCTTATAGGAGATTACATAGTAGACCGATTCCTCACACACCCCAGACCCCGAGCCCCCCCGGTGACACACGGGCAGATAGAAGGCAAGATGACGACGTGGCTACTCAACGGGATATTCCTTATAACCTCAGACGGCGCAGGGTTGATTACGTCATCCTGAACCGTGGTTATTAAATGTAAAAAANTTTTTTTTTCTTTTTTATTAATAAAAAGTTAAGATTTGTTTTAGTTTTTCATATTATTTAGTTTTGTTTTATTTATTGTTTTATATTTCTTGTGGGAGAGGGAGGGGGCCCAGTAAAAAGAAAGTGTCTAGTGCCTAAAGTGAGTTAATCTGGCCTTGGTTAGCAATGCTCATTAATAAGGTCCTGGGAAGAATGCTGGTTAAACTATTGCAATAAACATAACAGTGGGTATAATAGGCTAATTTAATAAATTATTTATTTTGAAATTACTAATCTTATATATATTTTTATACATTTTAAATTTATAACTTTTCTCTTTTAAGGAAATCTGATATTAGAGTTAGTAGATCATCGCAGTATAGTTACTGATTTATCTTTCTCACCTGATGGCAGCTTAATACTGTTATCTGCATCATATGATGGAACACTTAAATTATGGGATTTAAATGATAATGGAAATAGATTTGGAACATTATCAATGAATAATAAACCAATATACTCATGTGCCTGGTCACCAAATGCTAAATTAATGATATCTGTTGGTATGGACAAAGTGGTTAGTCATTATACATATATTTAAATGTAATTAAATATTAAACTAATTTCTTTATAATGAGAACAATTTTAATTGTTTTATTTTATAAAGTAAAACAATGATTATTATTTTTGTTCATAATCAAGGATTAAGAGTCAGAGTCACAGCTAACCAATTAGCAATCATTTTACTTAGACTCCAACTCTTAAGCCTTGGTTGAGAATACAAACATAAATAATACAATTAATATAAAATTTCTTAAATTCTAGGATTGAAATTATATTGGTTGCTTATGCAAAAATGTATTCAATACTTTCTTATTATGTAATGATTATAGAAGAAACTTTTAAAGAAAATTAAGATAAAATTGATGATAAATTTTCATATTTTTAATGTAAAAAATGATGTCAGTTGGAAAAAGACAATACTTGGTTTTGCATTGTGTATTTTTAAAGAGGTTCTGAAAATGTATAAGCAAGCTATTACTGCAGAATGCATTAATAAGGCCACTGATATACTTTACCCATTCTTCCTTAAGGAAAATTTCATTTTGACTTAATTCTTCACTATTTATTATTTACTTTTATTTTTACAAAAAAATATATTTCTTGATAGACTATACATACAAGATGAGTCCGTATGATTCGGTTCTTTCGCATACTATTGAGGCAATAACAGTTCCACAGCGGAGTAGACCTTTTATTGCTACTCATCTGCCACTAAATGAAAAATGTTAAAAAGTCCTCTAGCGGTAGTACAGTTAAAAATAAATTATTNCTTAAGATTATTTAAACTTGGTAAATGTTAACGTATTTACATATATTTATGTAACCGCTTTTTGAATTTGTTTTACGTAATTTTCGAATTTCTTCGTTCGATTCACAAATGTTAACTGACGATGATCGCTTAAAGCGTTCGAAAGCGTTTTTAAATATTAAAAAATGATTTGCTGGATGTTTAAAGGTGTTGAAATATTGAAGTCTTCCTTTAGTCCATTTATCATCATAGGAAACATGATCCACATTGGCAGAGTTGACCTTTCCTTATAGGCTACTTTCCTGCCTATAGCTATGCAAATTGAGTAAAAGTTCCAAGATTTTGGCTATTTTCCATAAAATTTCTAAAAAATCCAGGACAAAATATATTTTTAAATATATTGGAAAAATACAAATAATGAAAACTTATAAAAACAGAAATATTGAAGACTTTCTTGTTGGAAAATTATGGAAAATATCCAAAATCACAGAACTTTACTCGATTTGCATAGCTATAGATGGGGAAGTAGCCTGTAAGGAAAGATCAATTCTGCCAATGTGTATCATGTATGAAATGGATGACAAAGAAGAATTCAATATTTCCATTTGTTTAAGTTTTTATTATTTGTATTTTTACAATATATATTTTAAAAATAACATAATTTAATTTAAAAATTTAACTATAACAATTTTTTAATGCTTATAATATAAGAAGAATTAAAAATAAAATTTATAATCATAAACATGTTATAAGTTTTAGTGGCAAGATTACAGGATATTTTGTATAATTTAAAAATAAAAAATGTATAGTTTTTAGTATACATTTTCAATCTTTAAATTATACAAAGTATCCTACATTTTTAATTTAAATATGGAATATTAATAATAATTTATTTTTTAGGAATGAAATATTGCCTACTGAAAGTAGACATTGCTATTTAAAAAAACCAATTATTTTGGATACTGGTTATTTGGTCTGGTCTGTTGCATTTGGAGTAGTAACATGCAACAGAATATTAAAGGATCATTACATATTTTGGAAACGTTTATGTTTTTCTCAAGATTTAATTTTGGTGACTGGACATAATAATGGAAGAATAAGAATTTGGGATGTACAGACAGGTTTGTTAGTTAAAAATGACGATAAAATTTTGTTTCTGTAAAAAGTAATGACTATTACCAGTCATTTATTATTAATCTTTTTGAAATTATTGAGAAGTATTTTAATTTTCAATTTTCTCCATATATCAAAGTATACTTAAGTTTTTACAATTGTAATAATTATAGTTACCATTGCCACATTTTTATTTTATAAAAAAAAATAAAGGTTACCATATTAAATACTGATGCTGTTGTTAAACCAGTGTTCTCTTCAGAAATTTTTATCAGTCAGATGGAATAAAGGAGTAGCTGTGTGGAAAAAAATACTGTGTAGTATAAAATTTTCTGTTATTTGTAAATACAACTACTATTTTCTGTACAAACATGTGCATACATATTCAAACAAACACACTTCTATTGAAAAGCAATTGAAAAAAAATTGTGTGGAAACTAATTTACTATGTGACTAATCTCTACAATATTTGTCAGTAATTAATGATTGCTGTTGGACTGATACCTTCACTATTATTGTTATATGTTTCACCTTTTTCAAAATAACTAGTGTTGTTTTATGGCCTAACTTTTTATTGATTAAATCATATACTAATGAGTAAAATGTTAAAAACTGAAAAATTAAAATTTTTAAGTTCAATTTTTTGAGCTCTTTATGTTATGGAACCAGAAATATTTTGTTTTGTCTCCATACTCATTCCTACTTATAATTTTACCATGACAGTTTATCTAGTATGGTAAAATATATAATGAGTACCATGAACTTGGAAATCAGCCAGTTAGCAACAGGGCTGGATCATCGTGTAGACAAATGAGACAAATGTCTGGGCCCGGTTTTTCGAAGATCCCGGTCAAACTGTCTATTTTGAAAAGATTTGTAAATAAGATTCTTCCGATAATTTACATTTTTTTTTTTCTTTTTTATTAATAAAAAGTTAAGATTTGTTTTAGTTTTTCATATTATTTAGTTTTGTTTTATTTATTGTTTTATATTTCTTGTGGGAGGGGAGGGGGCCCAGTAAAAAGAAAGTGTCTAGTGCCTAAAGTGAGTTAATCCGGCCTTGGTTAGCAATGCTCATTAATAAGGTCCTGGGAAGAATGCTGGTTAAACTATTGCAATAAACATAACAGTGGGTATAATAGGCTAATTTAATAAATTATTTATTTTGAAATTACTAATCTTATATATATTTTTATACATTTTAAATTTATAACTTTTCTCTTTTAAGGAAATCTGATATTAGAGTTAGTAGATCATCGCAGTATAGTTACTGATTTATCTTTCTCACCTGATGGCAGCTTAATACTGTTATCTGCATCATATGATGGAACACTTAAATTATGGGATTTAAATGATAATGGAAATAGATTTGGAACATTATCAATGAATAATAAACCAATATACTCATGTGCCTGGTCACCAAATGCTAAATTAATGATATCTGTTGGTATGGACAAAGTGGTTAGTCATTATACATATATTTAAATGTAATTAAATATTAAACTAATTTCTTTATAATGAGAACAATTTTAATTGTTTTATTTTATAAAGTAAAACAATGATTATTATTTTTGTTCATAATCAAGGATTAAGAGTCAGAGTCACAACTAACCAATTAGCAATTACTTTACTTAGACTCCAACTCTTAAGCCTTGGTTGAGAATACAAACATAAATAATACAATTAATATAAAATTTTTTAAATTCTAGGATTGAAATTATACTGGTTGCTTATGCAAAAATGTATTCAGTATTTTCTTATTATGTAATGATTATAGAAGAAACTTTAAAGAAAATTAAGATAAAATTGATGATAAATTTTCATATTTTTAATGTAAAAAATTATGTCAGTTGGAAAAAGACAATACTTGGTTTTGCATTGTATATCACATTTTAAGGAATGTGAAATGTAGAGGAGTCTAACTCATGAGACATTCCTCTCCAGATGCTGCATGAGGATACAGTTTTATGTAGTGGCACTGAACATGAGTTGGATGTTAGGCATCCAATGAAAAACAATCAGCTGAAGCCAAAGTTTGGTTTGAGCCTGATAATGGCAAACTCCTGCTGAAGTTGACAGGCCATTAAACCAGGCACTGTTAGCAATTATTCTATATCATAAACCTACCAGAAGCAGTGACAGAATTAGCTCATGATGGATGGTTGCTGGCTAAGGTCAAACTTAGTCAGTTGAGAGTGACTACTTCCAACCAAATAATAATTACAGTGCAGACCTACCAGAAGAGTTAAACAAAGAGATTGAGAAGCTGTCTTGCACTATCCCCTTCACCTTAACTGCTTATAGCAAGCAACTAACAATGTGTGACACTCACAGACAGGATCATGAGACCAGACCAGACCAAACCAGACCCTAGACCTCAGCAACCTGCAGAGTTTAAATTTTTTTGCAAGTCTTGAAAATTGTTTATTTTGCGATTGTATCATTGTTCTTCAAGGGCAGCAATATATTAATCATCATCACTTTGAATTAGTTATCAAACACCAATCTGACAATTTAGACCTGTCTGAATTTAGACAGTTCTGTTCTTAGAGTAGGGAAGCAGACTGTTCAATGATCTTGAAACCACTTTCATAGAGTGATAAGGTGAAAATACTAACACTGCTAGTAACATGGGGTTTATGAGATATTGGCAAACTTAAATAAACAATCTTTACTCGTTCTGCACAGCAGGCACAGAAATACCACTTTTTGTGTCTGTTTGGAGCATATCCACTTGAAGGTAGAATAATATGACCAATTTGTGCATAAAGCAGATTGAAAATTATACAAAATAAAAAGTTGAAGGAATCTGAGAAAGACTGTGATACTAGTTAGAGGTTAAAATTATTAAGCTGTTCTATTCATGAAAATAGAGATCATAAAATATAAAGTGAGAAACAAATAATGTAATATTAAATAAATTAACTGTACATTTTACAGCTAATTTGTATGTTGCCCAACAAATAGCATAAATAGTGCTTTCTAAAAAAAATTCATTCTGGAAATTTTCCAAACAAATTGTGTAGATAGTACTAATTCTATCCATTTAAGATGGCATTAAAAATGATTTTTAAAATGTTTTGTATAAAATAAAATAGAATATCCAGCTTTCCTATAATTATGAATTTATTCAAGAAACTGTTGTTTGAAAACAATAAGAATTAATTTTAATATTTTTTTGTATTGATTAAAACTGATTTAAAAACTGCAATATGTTAGTATTTATTAAAATATATTTCATCTTAAGATAATTTAATAAAATAGAAAATAAAAACTTATAATTTTTCAGGCTTATATCTGGGATATGATAACCTACTGCATTAAATTAAAATTAGAAGGCCATCATTATGATATAGTTGCCTGTGGTTTCTCTCCAGATAGTTGCCTTGTAGCTACTGCTTCTTGGGATACCAGAGCTATTTTATGGGATGCAGAAACAGGATTAATGCTTAAATGTTTTGGGTAATTTATATATATATATACAATTTATATAAAATACATATACAATTTGTCTCAAATTTCAATTTATAATGTAATTATACTTTAAAATAATTTTATTCTTTATTTTAAGTTTTTAAAACAAATACAAGTAACAAATAAGTAAAAATGTTTTATAGCAAGAAAAGATTTTACTTAAATTAGATAGACTCATTTCTTATTTATAATAATGATAATAATTTAACAAATGTGCTAATTTTAAATTTTTTTAAACATTTTCTTTATATTTATTCATGACTTTTTCAGAAAACCTAAAATAAATTATACTGTTTAAAAACTTAAAATAAATAAATAACCTCCTTAAAAGCACTAGATATTTTTGTTCATAATCAAGGATTAAGAGTCAGAGTCACAGCTAACCAATTAGCAATCATTTTACTTAGACTCCAACTCTTAAGCCTTGGTTGAGAATACAAACATAAATAATACAATTAATATAAAATTTCTTAAATTCTAGGATTGAAATTATATTGGTTGCTTATGCAAAAATGTATTCAATACTTTCTTATTATGTAATGATTATAGAAGAAACTTTTAAAGAAAATTAAGATAAAATTGATGATAAATTTTCATATTTTTAATGTAAAAAATGATGTCAATTGGAAAAAGACAATACTTGGTTTTGCATTGTGTATTTTTAAAGAGGTTCTGAAAATGTATAAGCAAGCTATTACTGCAGAATGCATTAATAAGGCCACTGATATACTTTACCCATTCTTCCTTAAGGAAAATTTCATTTTGACTTAATTCTTCACTATTTATTATTTACTTTTATTTTTACAAAAAAATATATTTCTTGATAGACTATACATACAAGATGAGTCCGTATGATTCGGTTCTTTCGCATACTATTGAGGCAATAACAGTTCCACAGCGGAGTAGACCTTTTATTGCTACTCATCTGCCACTAAATGAAAAATGTTAAAAAGTCCTCTAGCGGTAGTACAGTTAAAAATAAATTATTACATTTTTAAGAAATATATTTTTTTTTTGTAAATGTGAATTTGTCCTGGCAATTTTTTAAAAATACTTTTATTTTATTGTTATTGGTTGTAATTTTTTATGTATTTTTAATTTTTTGAATGTTATTTAATCATATATATTTTGTAAGCAATATTATGCATTCTGGAATTTGAATTGCATATTAGTTTGATCTTTTGAACCTAAAGGTGGCTGTTTACACAGCCAAAATCATTCATATAAAGTCATGAAAATAACATATATAAAGTTTCATCTAATCAAAATTGCCTCTGTAATTCAAAGGATGCTTGTTTAAATAAATTGAAATAATTGATTGCTGGTGTATTTTTAAATGTTTAAATAAATTTTAGAGATTAATAACAATTAATTAAATATGAAAGTATAATGTACAAACAAAAACAAGGTGACATGATTAAAAAATTTTATTTTTCAGTAACAGTATTTTTGATACTTGTTTCTTTCTCAGTATTCTGTGTTTCCACCTCATATTTTATGATTATGTCTACAATGAACTGTTAATGGAAAAAAAAAACAATATTATAATATTTCTTATAGTATCTTCTAAATAGCTTATTGGTAAGTGTCATTGCTTTCAATGGGTAGTCTAGAGGTATGGAATGCAGATTATATGAAGGTTTTATTTCTGTTCTAATGGCTTTCTGTGTGGTGTATATTAATGTTGGTTATCTGCACAAAATTGTGATATGTGAAAAGCTTTGCACACAATATAAAGTACACCAACCTTATGTAGGCCTTGCACATAAATGACAAAACCATTACTAACATTTTCAGTCTATACCTAATACCTTCTTCAGGTAAATTTTTCAAAATTGAACCTTTCTGGAACTGGCATTCTAGATTGGAATGCATAGAAGACACACTGACATATTTGAATCTGGAAGTGTTTTATTAATTTTTATTAAATATCCGATAGGGTATGTCTATTCACAGTCTATGTATTGCCTATCACGATGCTTGCACACAAAATTATTACAGACTTGGCAACTGGACTATAAAATACCATAGACAGTATTATAAAACAATACATGGAATATACTAAGATGTATATTTCATGTATTCTATGGTATTTTATAGTCTGAGATTAAGCTATAATCACAGACAAAACAATCCATTACAACATATCTGATGTCACATTTGACAAACGTAACCATATAAACATATTCATTCCAAACATGCATAACGTACTAAATGCATATAACAATTAAAATTAGTAAATATTCCAAACTTTCTCACAAAATAGTGTCTGTAAGAATGGATAGTATACTTATTAATCTTGATGAATCCAGAGTAGCAACATACAGTAGTTTGTATGGCTCTTGCAGGAATAATTGACTAGTAGATGTAAAGAAAACATCTATTCAATACTAGTAAAGAGAGGCAAATAAAGAAACTACTGTTAACGTTCTTAGTAAAATCACAATGAAAAAGTTGCACACAGATTACAATATTCAATGATACAGGTAGAATGGTCAGCACTTATTTGCTTCAGAGAACCAATATATGATAAAATTGACAATCAGAATCTAAATAGTCTTGTGAAAATTATTACAGAAATGATAGAATTGTGGGAAATTTATCAACTCAGGATATAAGTAGGAGTGTCTAACAATGCAAATTAAAAGATGGATCAATAGGAAAGAATTAAAAGTAAGATCTACTGTGTACTTATTTGTTATTGGTAGTTGTCAGAAAAATTGTGACGGATGATGAATATAAGGCTTAAAGGATTAGTAATTCAAACACAAATTATTTATTGTATTTATTCAGACACTTGGAAAATCTCATCATTAAATTTTATTCAGTTGATATGTGTTCATCTCATTTGTACACGTTTCGGGCATTCCTTGCCCCTCTTCAGCCAACTTTTAGATTACAGATTATTGAAAGTTAAAACCATAAATGAGATTTGCCAAGTGTCTGAATAAATACAATAAATAATTTGTGTTTGAATTACTAAAAATTACTGGCATGGTTTCAAAAATACTAGCATAAAGGATTTTTAAAAAACATTTTCATGTTTTTTAAAGATACTGTGGATAAATTTAGACAAACACAAAGCTATGAGATGAATTTGTAATTGCAATTTAAAATCTGCGGGTATCCTGCTTTATTCATAACCCACACCTGATTATAAATTGATTTTTAAATAGAGACAACCTATATGTTATTCAGAAGAAATTATGGTAATTTGTTTGCTAAGATTGATAGACTGAAACATAAACTCTTAAAAAAGTAAAATTTAAAGACATTATAGAATTAAATTGATAAAAATTGTTTTGCTTCTTATAATTCTGAGAGTTTTTAATTAATTAGAATTTGCAATTAAATAAAAATTTTAATAAAAATAAATTCACGTAGTGTAATTGTAAAATTTAATTAAAGACAATAGAAAAGATATATATCTGTTATATATTTTTATATTGTATGTTACAAGAAATTTTCATAAAACTCTTGCTTGCTTTTATAGATAACAGTTCAAAAATTGTATTGTTAATTATCTTTTTAATAGTTAAAATCAATTTTTTACAAAATATGAATGTTTAGAAACTTAATAGTTAAGAATATTGATATTTAAAACTGAAAATTTTTTACTTTAATGAAATTGATACTTGTGTAAAAATTTGTTTTGAATTGAAGTGCTGAGATTATATTGTTGTTTAGAACTGTAGTGGTATATTTTATAAATAGTTACTTTAGAAGTATAAATGTATAAGAATTTAAAAGTTGAATAAAAAAGAGGTCACATGTTTCTTTGGATAACACTATGGGGGGGAAATAGTGGAATATGTTAAATTATTAAAAACATAGGTAATGTAATTATTATCATTGTTTTGTTGTTTTAGTATTTATTAAAAAATAACAACAGTAATTATTTACGTAGATAAAAAATGTTGTGATAAAAAATTAAAAAATAGGCTGATAACAGACTAACAGTCTGAAAAGCATATTGATTTTATATAAAGGATATTAAAAGAAGAGTAAATTGTCATCTTTTGAGTTGACCATTTTGACAGTCTAGTAATAAGAGCCTTCGTCTCCAATAAAGAAATCAGTTGATATTTGCTTTGTGTGACATTGTCACACAAAGCAAATATTAATAGTAATAATAAATTTATATATGTGTTATATGAGTATAATATCAAATTAAGCATATACAGTAATACCCCGACTTACGCGAACCCGGAGTTACACGATTTTCAAATCTCGTCGATTTGTCTTTTGTTTGAGCGCCACGCAACCCTTGATTACTCACTCCCCCCACACTATTGTTCAGCTTACATGTTCAGATGTGTTGCACGGAATCTACACATAGCTACAATTTATTTTGTGTTATTTATTTCTGTGTTTGTTATATCTACGGAGACTTGAGAGACTCTACTATGTCATCCAAACGAAGTAGAACTAATTCTTCTGCATCAAACAAGAAAAGAAAAACTTTATCTTTGGAATGTAAAGTTAACATTGGGTATGTTCGTAAAGTCGAACGAGTTAAACAAGAATGACGTCATCGTTATTCCTATTTTGTTAGACTTTTCGAACAATTCGTTACTAACGCGTTTAACTCGTTTGACTTTATGAACGTACCCATTATTAATGACTTCGATACAAAAATGAAAATTTGTGAATTGGCAAAGAAGTTTGATCTACTGGAATTGTCGGTCAGAACAATTATAAAAGGCAAAGAAAAAATTCTTGAAGTTGTGAAAAATGCTCAATCTTTAAATTCAAGCAACATTCGTAAATGTCGCAGTATTATCGCTGAGATGGAAACAATGTTAAAATTATGGCGTAATAATCAAGTAAATGTGAAAAATTGTAAAATAATATAGGCCTAATTTGTTATACATATTTGTTATCTAAGATTTTATTAAACATTTTTTTTCTAAATTATTCTTTTCTTTAGTCTCCGGCCCAATAAAAAATTATTTGTATGTATTTATATGCAAAATTATACCCCGACTTACGCGAATTCGACTTAACGCGGTTACCACTCAGGCCCACCTATCACGTAAGTTCGGGGTATTACTGTAATTATAACAAAATCAACAAATGCATATTTTTTTATTATTTGTTTAATACGAATTTTCAGATTTAATGTCAGATCTTATTTGGTGAGACATTGATAAAATACTTATGTTTATATTTAAAAGTAAACATTATTTGAATTTATTAAGCATATTTGATAATTTGAAGTGTGTTTTTTAACAATGTACTATTTATATCTTTTTCAGACATCTGTATCCACCTCCACATTTAATTTATGCTGGTGGACAGAATGGTACTTGGATTCGTGGCTTATCATTCTCTCCTGATGGTTCCCATTTTGCAACTGTAGCAGATGATGGGTAATTTTTAAGGCTGTATCAGTAATGTTCTAAAAATATATTTCAAATATCAATTGTATAAATATATTAACATCCCAATAACCCGATATATTAATAATCCACCAACCAACAGCCAAAATAATCAGGCAGAAATTATCCTACAAATATTATAATTAGAAATAACATAAGAACTAGAGGTAGACATTAGGTGCCATCTCTTGACTAAAGAAGAAACTATAATTTAATTTTAAATTTAGAAATTTAGAATAATCTGGAAGAAAAGAATCAGCCCAGAGTGGGAGTCAAACCTGCAACCTCTGCTTACCATGTGTTGTGCTGACCAGTTACACCACCTGGACCTCCAAGCAACTCTTTCCTTCAAGACACATTTAAACTTTTAGATATAACCATCCAACAGTTATCGAGGCACCACCTGGGGAATGTATTTTAATAAAGAAAAACTGTTTGAATGTTTAAAAAAAATGTTAGCCTATAGGTGATAAGTCTGGTAAATATGAATCAGAAAGCATCTCTAACTTCATTTCTATTCAGTTTTATTGTTTTTATGATACATTTTGCTATCATTTGTAATATACATAACTGTCTCTAAAATCCTTGAATTCTTTATTATCTTCTTGCATCCTGTAGTCCTGCAGACTGTTGAGACCAATGATGGATGCATTATTTCTTGCCCATTGTACTTTCCTCTTGAACTATGTATGCAGCATTTTGTATGCCTAGTCTAGTACAATCTCAGATATCATCCAACTACCTCCTTTGCCTTCCATTATGCCAAGTATCACTGTTTTATCAGTCTGTCATATCTTATCCTACAGTATATCTTGTCCAACATTGCTATTTTCTCTTTTTGATGTTCACAATCATCATCTTTCCATTAAGGTTGTTCTTGTACTTATTGTTGTTCACTATGTCTTTTCAGTTTATTTTAAGTAAGTTTCAATCATAACTAATCTCAAAAGTTTCTAGCCTCCTGACATCTTCCTTTTTCAGAATCCATGATTTGCATGCATAGATATAATGCATGCATCTAGCACATAGAATTTGGCTTTTGTGCTGATGTTCTCACTTTTCCATATTTCTCAGATTTCTGAAGGCATTACTTGCTATTCCAATTCTCTTTATTTCTTTGCTGCAATCATTATTTGCAGTTATCATGTTTTCCAGGTTTTCACCCTCATTATAATATGGGTTTAGTGATCAATACTTTGTGAAATAAATTGATTACCAAGCTTTGATTATTAAACATTTTTTTCTAAAAGAGAATTCAAAGCTTTTATTAACTGTTATTAGCTTCATATAATTGACTAAAAATGTATCAGAGATAAATCTTAAAGATGATAATATTTTGATCACTTGACTATAAGTAATGATGGATTTGATGGGGTGGGAAAACATTATATCTATAAGTATCAGATTTTAAATAAATCTAAATTTGAAAGATGGCTCAAATATCTGATATCAGTAATGTTTCTGGTTCTAAATTATTTTTTACATGATGATTATGATATCTAAAAAGAAATAATTTATGAATCTCTTATAAAACAAATTTATAATTATCTAAGCCTTTCTATTTGTTTCATTTCAACATTACCAATAAAAACAATTTATCAATAAAGTTATGTCCATCTAAATCAGAATAATAATAGGAGATTTAAATTTCACATTGCCTATTGCATTTTCACAAAGTATTTAGAGCAGCTAAAAATCTTAACTCTCTCATTTTACATACTCTAACATTTTTATGCCCTAACTTTTCCAAAACTAGCTAGTTGTTTTGTGTTACAACTGTTGCATCTCATTTGGTTGTTCAAGCACCAAATGAGATGCATTGTATCATTTAATGACGATTTTATATCTGTTTTGTATTCATATTTTGTGAAAAAAATTTTAAATTTGTCAAATTTTTTCAATGCAGTTTTATTCTCAGTGATTCACTAAGCAATGTGATTATGCATGTAAATAGAAAAAGTTGTTTCAAACTATTTTCGTAATTTTTTTTAATGATATGAAATCCTGATGAAACTAGTTTAAAAAAGAAATGATAAAAGAACAGCTGAATGAGGACAAAATGATGAGATGAAAATGTTATAATTAGTGATAGCAATCCAAGATAGTAAATAAAGTATGTAAAGGAAGACAAAAATAATGTTTAAAATAAATAATATTTTTAACATGAGATAGAATAAGAAAGTAAAAATTCTAATCAATAAATAGAGTTAAATATCATGAATTTATTATACTATGTAGGATGTAGTTGGTACAGTATTAAAATTAGGTTACAATGTAGATTTAGTGAGAAAATCTCAGCTCTATCAGTGAAAGAGGTGTTGGATAGAGCAGGTAAATACAGGATCTTTATAATTAAAGTTCCACTTTGAAATGGCCATAAAAGGAAAACTACTGGACAAAATGTTATGAAACTTGGTAATAGTTTACAGGAAGTCATGGAATTTTATTTTCTGCAAAAAAAATAGTTCAAAAACTCATCATCAGCGGGAAATGGTGCTGTATGCAATATTGTTAAACAAAAGAAGACATGAAGATATCGGTTGAAAATGCTTTTAATTGTTTCTAAAACGTGTTACAAAGCATGTTCAATGTGGCATCCACCATTTTCAGAAAGCAAGTTAAATTGCATTACTGTGTTCTCAACAGTAGCTCTCGGCATATCAGGAGGAATTTTATGGACATGTCGGTGTATCGAATTTTTCAATTCCGTCAAATTGTTCATTTTGATTTTCAACTGACGTCTTCATGTCTTATTTCATTTAATAGTATTGCATACAGCGCCATTCCTCGCTGGTGGTGAGTTATTGAACTATTTTGGGGAAAAATAAAATCCCATGACTTCTGTAAACTATTACCAAGTTTGATAATATTTTGTCCAGTAGTTTATTTCAAAGTGGAACTTTAATTACTGAGACCCTATATATTGAAAAATATGATAATATTAACATACGGCCTAATTCAGNTTGGGGAAAAATAAAATCCCATGACTTCTGTAAACTATTACCAAGTTTGATAATATTTTGTCCAGTAGTTTATTTCAAAGTGGAACTTTAATTACTGAGACCCTATATATTGAAAAATATGATAATATTAAAGATAAAATGATAGAGAAATAAAATTAAGTTATAAAAAATGCAATATATGTATAAAAGTATAAATAAAAATAGATTGTTAATTTCCCTATCCCTATCATTTACAAAGATTTTAAAATATTTACAGTAATTAAAAAAGATTGCAACAAAGACTTATATTGAATGAATTAAGATTAATAGATTATGTTTAATAGATTTCATTATATTTATATATAAAACTTTTAATTATGTAGTTCCATAAACTAAAATATTTTAAAAGTTCATTTTATTTACAGATATTTGCGATTTTGGGATATATTTAATGACGATGATCCAGAGGCAGTAGGAATTATGGAAGGTGCATTATGTTGTGCCTATTCTGCTTCTGGACAAATTCTTGCTGTTGGGTGAGATATTGGAAATGCTTAATTTATTTTTGAATGTTTTGCAAATTTATTAATCTGTGAAATTAATATTAATAGAACAGATTTTTCTAAGTATCATATTTGTTATATATTAGTAATTATTAACTAGTATTAATTATATGTATCTTAAAGTTAGAGTAATTGTTTTCCTCCCTATTTCAGAACACAAAATGGATCAGTAAGTTTTTGGAAAGCATCCAGTTGCGTCACTCCTTTACTCCATTTATGTCGCATTAATATAAGAAGAAAAGTACAAAGTAAGGATTTGAAAAAGTTAAAGCTTCCTTCACGATTATTGCTGTATTTGCAGTATTGTGATCTTGATTAACAAACAGAAAATATAATATTGTACATATTAGATTGCAACAAACATGTATATAATTTATCAATATGCAATAATTTTTAATTTAATAGAATTATTATTATTTTTTTCAAATTGTATAAATATAATTTTGTTAGTAAGAGCAAATATGTATGATAATGATGATTCAATTAATAACAATTCAACAATTATAGAACCTAGATATTATCAAGATACATAAGTACTACAGATTATTTAAATACCTTTATATCTTAATTTTGACAATTTCAAGTAATATATGTTCTACAAAATTTTATGTATTCAGTTTTAACAACATTTTCAACTATCTCAGATCATTGTTATTATAAATAGAGAATATAATTCCATTTCACATATAAAACAGTTATTATGCAGAAAGCAAAATATATCAGCTTCTTGAAATTGAATTAGAATGTATTATACTGTATATGTAAAAATTACTGTACATATATTTCTATATTTCTGAAAACTCTGCTAACTTTTGATATTATTTGTTTGAATAGAATAAATAGATCACTTTATTTTGATTTAAAATAGAATTTGATTACTGTTCTTATAAATTTAATTGCAGAATTTTGACAATTACTGTTAATAAAATCTTATTGAATACAGTCGACCCCCTATAACACGGGTTCCTATAGTTCGGATTCCTATATCACGGCGAAAAATTGCGACAGTATTCGTACAAACATGCTAAAAAAATTCGTATAATTCGGTAAAACGCCACCGCTGACTAGTGTCGTGACAGGATTGGTCGAATCTAGACCAATAGTGGATATTGCACAAACCGTTGAGTTTAAACGAGCAGCGGACCTACTAAAAACTATTTATTATTTAACGTCCATAAAAATTATATTTATATTAATGATGTCTCCAAAGTTCAGCGAATTTTTCGCAAAAAAAGTAATTTATCAGGAAGCACGCGAGTGCCATTCGATGACAAGCTCCACGACAAAAACAAGGTTTTTGTCGTGGAGCTTGTCAACAATGGCGTAGTCGAACGGTGCACGCTCGGTAAATAATCCTACAATTTTTTGTTTATAGCATAGTTTACATGGATTATTCCCAAAAAATTATACGTATTTTGGAAATGATGAGTCGAATTAGTCTAGAATCGATTAATTTTATGGAAGAAACGTTTCAAACGGCCGTACTCCTAAACTGTACACGTGCCGGGCTGTGATTGGCTGGACTCGTAGAAAATGGATTTATAAAAATCGGAACGTATCTAGCGTGTTATAGGGGGGTTGACTGTAATTTTCTATCCCTAATGTCCCACATACATAAAAAGCAACAATATTTAGTGTACCCCAGTGCATTCCTACAGTACAGCGATGACTTTTAGATCGCCACATATTTTCCACTTGTGCTCAGCATAATTGATTGAGTCAAGGAGGGCTGTCATGTTTGCATAAATATATATTCTGTAATAGAGTGTAGTTTTATTATATGCTGATCTCAGGAGTTTTACAGGAAAAACGCCAACGATAATGTCAGTAATACAGGGTGTTTTTTTTTTAAACTGACGGTACTCAGAGACATCTGTAGAGCAATCTAAAAGCCGGATTGTCTCCAAATTTGGGATAGTGACTAAGGACGACATGGAAAAGAGATTCCGCAAAGGAAAAAAGTAGTACTCAAATTCGCCGGTAGGGGTGGATTTGGCGCTGCTGTAGCGAAACAGCTAAGAATTTGCATAACGCGCTGGTAACACTTCAAAATCCAAATTCACAATGACGTGATCAACAGCAGTGCCATCTAAACTGAACTTAAAAGACAAGGGCAAAAGTCTGAAGCGCATTCTGGACGTCAGCAGAGTTCAACATGCATCTTTTGTTATCTCAGCGTGCGTTGCTTGTAAAATTTTATTATCAAACTTTATTTATGTAAAACCAATCGAGCGCACCGGGTGCTCTTCGTGAATTTAGAGCCCATAACAACCTGCGCAGAGCTCATCTATCAATTAATGCATTGAAAGACTTGATAAAGAAATTTGAAGAGACAGGATCCTTAGCAGTTAGGCCTGATAGAGGGCAGAAACAACGTCACTTAGATAATCTAGGTGGCGTTGATCTAACCCCATGTGACTTTTATCTCTGGGGTTACTTAAAGTCCAAGGTCTATCTTGGTGGTGTTCCCAATTTGATGACCTTGAAGGACAACATTTCTAGAACTGTGATGAACATTCCTGCGGACATGTTACGTTCGGCCGTAGAGAACACGGTGTTCAGGATGCAATGTGTTGTCCAGCAGGACGGTAGTCACATTGAAGGAGGGAGAAGGTTATTTGCTGATTAATTAAACTTTCATTATTGCACTGAAACCGCTGTCTGATTATTCATTCGTGTGTTTGTTAATTGCAGCTGGGTTTTATGCAAACTCTTAGCTGTTTCGCTACAACAGCGCGAAATCCACCCCTACTGGCGAATTTAGGTACTACTTTTTTTCCTTCGCGGAATCTCTTTCCTATGCCGTCCTTAGTCACTATCCCAAACTTGGCGACAACCGGCTATTAGATTCCTCTACAGATGCCTCTGAGTACCGTCAGTTTAAAAAAAAAAACACCCTGTATATGGGGGATTCGTTTGTATCAGATTACGAGGGAAGGTAGCGTGAATCTTTGATGACGTAAGATTGCATCTGTTTATTATGATTGGAAGAAAATATTGTTTGAAAATAATTTGTATGTATTATGAATGGTTTACACTTCTGGCCTGTTGATATAATTAGGAGAGGGGTACCTTGGTGGTGGTGATGGAGAGAGGGATCAAAGCGGCAAATTTTTGCTGATAAAATACTTGAATGGCCTGATATACAAATTTAAAAGGAAAATGGTAGGATGAATTTTTCAAAAGGTGGTGACTAAACCCTAAACACTGGGAAGTTCGGTGGTAGGTTCGCGCCGCGATCGGACAGGCTGGCTGCTTGGAGTTTTCCGGGTTTTCTCCTTGCCAATAACGACTAAAGAGGAGGCCAGTTCTCATAAAAGTCTTCCCGGAAGGCATTCTTTCCCCGCGCGCGCGATTAGGCCGTTCGGATACGGCTGGCTCGTCGGTCGCATAGCGATCAATAATGTCAATTGGAGAAAGAGCCTAAATAGAGCCATACTCTCCATATCAACATAGAAGAAGAAGAGAAGAAAGAAAAAAAGAAGAAAGAATTTTTCAAAAATTTTTACAAATTGTTACAATGGTTGTCCCCTTTACGTAATGGTATAAAATTGTTGTAGTGTATTTTACAGTATGTGACCTTTTCGTTTTGAAATTGTTTCAGGGTAAACATGTTGGAAAATTATTTATTAAAAACCTAAGTAATGATTTCTCGTTCAACTTGGATATCTTTACAGCCAGAAAAGTCCTGCATTCCATGTGCAACAAAAGAATGCCTTTGTCAACTAGAGATTTTGCCGCTAACGTTACATAGTTCTTGGTCTCAAAGCCAATATCAACGTTCCTGCAAAGTAGGTTGGCCCACCAGTGGCCAAGCGGTTCCGTTCTCTGAACACTGGGTAAACACCGGGATTTCGTCGTGGGTTCTCTCCTCGCCAGAACAGGTTGGCCACGTGGAGTTTTCCGGGTTTTCTCTACGTCTGTAACGCCTAAATACGGGCCAGTTTCCCTTAAAAGACCTCCCGGAAAGCATCCCCCTAGGCAGATCGTCCAAGTGTTGCGTTACCAAAACAAACATACAATATATAATTTTAGAACAATCGTTACTACTTGCCATCTGATGAGAAGTATTTAAAAATTCTGATTTGTAATATACTGCAACTTGAATAATATAAATTATCTTTAGTTAATTTAACTCATAATGTTCATTATGACTAATACGTCACACATTATATTCTACAGCCACTTTCTAACCAAGACAATTTTAAACATGAAATTTTTTTAAAAATAAATGTGACTCTTTGATACTAGTTCTTCCTGTTCATTAGTTCGATAGTGTCAACTATCGAAAGTTGAAATTGGGACGTAGATGAAAGTTGAGTTGCAAGATTCTGGACAGACAGATGCAAGGACAAACCAACCAAGTATAATATAAAGAGTACAAAAAGAAATGCACCGGGTGGAATGGTGCCCACTAGGTAGTCCTACAAAAGTTTCAGAACAAGAATTAATAAACAGCTACTCTTCCTTCAACATTTTATTGAATATATTATCCAATAACAGAGAAGAAAGTAATTTTGTTACTTAATGGCTACTCATATAATAAATGTGTACCCTGGTTAAGTAAGGAAACAAGTTTGGAAAGAGCCTGAAAGTGTGCCTGCAGCACTAAAAGACAAAAAGAGGAAGGTGAAGAATTGAATCCAGAGAAGGCACATCTATTGCGTTTTTAAGGGATTGACGAATGACATGAGTTATGCGGTAAGTGTATATGTTAGATTAGGTGTGGTTGTTCGTTTTAAGAAAAATGTTGTATGCACCGTTAGAATTTAGTCAGGTGATCTCGGCGAGAAAGTACGGAAGGTATTCTTGTTCGTGCGCGTTACCTTCTTTTTACCTAGATCTCGTATGTAAACCGGAAGTGGCTTGTAACGTAGGGAAAGTTTTAAGACTAAAATTAATAGAAAATTTGCCATTCAATGTAGTGAAATTTACATTCTTGTTACATTCTTTAAGTCAACCGTCCAACCGAAATTGTTTACTGGGTCTACACCAAAAATAAAAATACACTGGTCCGCACATATTTATTTACAACTAAACATATACAATTATACAGTTTTTTTGTATGTATTTTAATGGAAAATTTGTTTTTCAATTTTTTCACTTAATATTTTAACTATATATGAACTTCCACAATTCAAAAATTTTCTCCCGAAGGCAGTTAATAGATGACCGGCTCCACTCTATTGCTAAAGCAAAAGTATGATGTACTGTACAAGGGCAAGCCACTACTAATTTGAGGTGGAGAGCATATATTTCAAGTAAAGTAGCTTTTCTAGGAAACGCGCCAATAGAGTACTTGAATTTGATAGTTGTAGCGGAGAACAAGAAAAGGGAACATTATCGTTTTTTGCAAATCAGTAAGGTCGAGGTTGAAATCTTACAAGAATAGCTTGCTAAAAATGTATGAATCGTCAAAATCTGTTCGATAGTTTATTAGATCTAAGAAGCGTTACAGACAATTGTATATAGTCCTATATATATCATGATGATGATTTCATTTTTAAAAATATTAAATCCCGAAATAAATATTCGAGTGTACCTTGATATGGTCGAAAAAAATATCAAGAAATGAAAAATATTAGTAACTGGATGGGTTTCAAGATGGTTGTACGGAGTAAAAAAGTTGGCGGCGCTGCGATACCGGGGAATATGGCGGCGGAAGATCGAATGGAGGAACGAAGTTCGATGTACAGACGACGTTAAAAGGGTCGAAGGTATCGAAGATGAAATATTTTCGTACTTTTCTCCACGCGAAGCCATTACGCCTTTTCGACTCGATCCTAATTCTTGAAAGTGAGTACCTG